TTTCCTAGAATTTGGGTGAAGTAAAGCTGTGGTCTGAAGAAAGATAAGAGTGTACACATAAAAAGTATTGTTTATCTATAAAGAATATCGTTTTATATAACAAAGCAGTTGTAAGTTGGATGCATTGAGTGGACCTATTGCATGTTGATGGAATTGTATCAAAGCAATATGTTCCTAGTCAAAATGTTTGGTATGCACTAAAATTTCATAGAAGCATGACAATAACTTTTTAAAGTCTTTCAGCACATGCATCTTGGAACCGGATCTTTGTTACATGATCTTGTTTTTTACTGTCTGGTTTTACTGCGGTTATTTGTGTCTTGTTTCAGTTCAAGAAGTACATGCTGGAGCTGTCATCGCAGTCGTCGATCCACGAGCTTATGGAGTTTCTGCACTCGTTCGTGGGCTGGTGTGGAGACCACTGTCAGGCGGTCTCGCCAATGAGTGAGTGGTCCGCAAGAGCCGGCCGGCCCCGCCACCGCCCGCGGATCACAGCTCTGTCGCACAACAGCGTATGTTTTTCGCTTGGCGCACTTGGAGAAAGACAAATGGTAAGGGCGAGCAGGGATATGAAGCGGTGTGAGAGCTTCGCTTTGCGAGATTTGTAACAGCTTTGTGAAAAACGGAAAAATGATGAAAAGCACATTGTGGGAGCCAAAAATAGTGTCAGGGATGGAAAGAAAGGCCGACGAAGAAACAAACAAGTTCGAAGAAAGGGAGCAGGAAAATGATGCAAAGAGAAATGAAGGCGGGGAGAGAGAGAGAAGGAGAGAGGGAGAGAGAAAGAGAGAGGAAGAGGGAGACGGAGAGAGAGAATGGGAGAGGGAGAATGAGAGAGACAGAGAGGAAGAGACAGACAGAGAAAGAGAGAGAGAGAGAAAGAGAGAGAGAGAGAGAGAGACAGAGAGAGAGAGAGAAGAGAGAGAGAGAGAGAGAGAGAGAGAGAGAGAGAGAGAGAGAGAGAGAGAGAGAGAGAGAGAGAGAGAGAGAGAGAGAGAGAGAGGAGAGAGAGAGAGAGAGAGGAGTAGAGAGAGTAGAAGAGAGAGAGAGAGAGAGTAGAAGAGAGAGAGAGAGAGAGAGAGAGAGAGAGAGGGGGGGAAATGAGGGAGAGAGTACTTTGCTTTTAACGGGAAACATTGTGAGCAGCCGGTGCTTCCCGACTGTAAGTCCAGCGTAGGTACTGAGTCATCAGTAATCAGTGGGCCGGAGAGGGCCCCTTGACACAGCGCTGCCGCCACTGAAGCCAAATGGCCGCCGCCGCCTGCCAGAGGTCATCAATTAAGCCGACGTAAGGGCCGGATGCTGGCACAGAGCTACCAACCGGGGAGTGGGCGCAGAGGATGGCGTGGATGTGATGCACCGACGGTGGAATAGGCTCAGGAGGGTGGGGTGGATGGGATGTGCTGAACGAGAAATGGGCTTCAGATGGCTGGAAGATCGTATATACCAGCAGAAGAGTGCGATTGGAGGCTGGAGTGAATGTGTCACGGACCGGATTATGGACTCGGGGATGGGCGGATGGGATGAAACGATTGGAGGAGGGCCCTAAGAGGGAAGTGTGAACAATGTATGCATTTCTTATCTAGTAATGAACCTGAGATGGACTGAATGGCTCGTTTCGACGAAGCAGCTCGTCTCGATAGTTGCTCCGTTAGCTGACTATTTGATCCGAGTGCATCGTCTCGCCCTGCTCGCACACGTAACTTTTCAGTCTCCCGTTTGTTGCCTTTTCACTGATTTTCCCCGCACAAACGTGTGTGACGCCGCAGATCAGAAGCGAGGTGCTAGCAAGCAGGCGGACGGCGGCCACCAGTTCGGCTACGCCACCAACTTCGGCGCCGTCAAGGGAACGTCCAGCATTCGGGGCGTGGAGGGACAGATGATCGGGCTCATCTTCGGCGAGTACATGCGACGACTGGTTGCCATGGCTAAGGAGCTCAAGCTGCCAGAAAACCTGGTACGGGATCTGGTAGTCTTCACACATCCATGGTGTTTGTGGCGATGACATTTGTCTCAATCTCCACCCCTACATAAAGTTATGATATTATCCGTGTAACGAGTCCCTATTGGTACGTGTTGTGGGTCAGTGGTGATTATCTGTTTCAAATAAAGATCGACATGTTAGGTAATTTTGGCATCCTGCTATGTTCGAAGCATAAATTCCATGGTGCGATTATAGAAACATAGCAAAGAGAGTGCTCCACATTCGCACTGGACTTTAAAGTGAAATGGCCATTTTGAAGATCCTTTGTTGCATTCCACAGCCCTGTGGAACCTGTCCTTCTCACCACCTAAAACCCTTTGGCTTTTTTAACTAAACGCCTGTGAAGATGTGCAGACTGTTTCGTGCAAACTATTGCAAGGTCTCTGAGGCATGCATGACGCCATAGAAACGACATTCAAATCCTATGTCCCCATTGGCCATGCGTTGCTCAAGTCAAATAAGAATATAATCGTCGAGCCGTTCATATCTGGCATTCGTGACCGCGATTTGCAGATATAATGCACGTCAATTTCTCGGTCCGTGTTGAGCACGCTGTACAAGTTTCAATCACGAATCACGTTTGTGCAAAGAAGTTGGACATGGGAGCTATTTATAACGGCAATAAGGCTTGTAATCGAATAAGTTGGCAATGGTTCCATGCCGTAATATGTTCATATAAGTAAATATCTAAACTCACGTATAAACATGCACAAACACGACGAGAAAGAGTCAAAACATGATCATGGAACGATATTTGGTTCCGCAAATACCGCTAGCACGCCAAGACCACATTTCGGGAGATCGAAGAAGTGCAAGTGGGTGCTAGGGTGGCAATATGGCACGGCCAGTTTGGCAAGCCCTCAGCGTCATACAAACTTTGTATGACGCCATCAAACAATGACGCATTGGGGGCATACTTTGTAAACACATAAATTTTAGTGTGTCCAGTATTTTCAAGCAGTGTTTATTTTACTTAAAAGAAACCCCATGTCACAATGTCCACAGCTCATAATGTCTGCAGTTCATAATGTCCACTATTTACAACATCCTCAATTCACGACATAATGAACAGAGCTAATAATGTCCACAAAATAGCTTTCCTCCCTGTGGTTGAGAGGCGGCGCCTTGGACCGTGACGCCATTCCCTCCCGCATGGTATGCGGTCAAACACCACTACTGTTGCTCAGTTTCCGAAACCGGCTTTGTCGGCCGATCAGCTGATCGTTCGCGCCGCTTTCATTCGCGTCAGCCTGCTAGTTGTCCTGTGTCTGGGACAGTGTGGCGTTACTCGAGACGTTTCTTACTGGCCGGTTGGCGGGAAGCCTCTCGAGTGCCGGTGCCTTTCAATAGCGGACTGCGGACAGGCAGCGGCTTGTGTGCGGGCTGGTTGCGGGTTTGGAGGGGGAGGAGGGGCGAAATCAGCGCATGGCAAGAAAGGAGCGTGAAGGGACGGGAAGCATATATTACTGCCTGACACGGTTACAATTACCGTTAGTTCCAGACCACTTGGCGCTGAATCTAATGCATAACGCGAGGGTATTGTATATCTATTTAGTCACAAATGCAATAAGATATTCCGGGATGTTCATTTTACGGTGCGTTTCATCCAACCACGTCAGTTTGATGAGCGCCAGACCATCCATATTTTTCTCGATTTCGTTCGGCCACCTCAACTATAAATTTGACGCCTGACAACGAGGGTTGTCCGCATCCATTAACAAAAGATGCTGCTGATATACCTCCCGGCTGGCAAGGGATATATCAGCACTGAACGTTGCAACTCTTGTACGTCGCGAGCTGATGAGGAACGTACAACGCGTACGATGCGAAGTTTTGGTTTGGGGATAAAAACCAGCGTTTTTTTCAGTCACTATGTCGCCTGATAAAACCGGTACGTGTCGACATATGCTCACACAAAATGTGGCTGTTACCGGCGTAAAGACGTGCACCTACGCTGGCCTGTAAATTTGCTGCCGTCACGGTTTATAGACCTGCGACTCGTCCTGCCTACAAACCGCAACGGACCGAGGACGAACGATCGGTACAGATCCATAGACGTAGTAAGTGTATTAGATGGCATTAAAATATGTTCATTTGTGCACGAAGACCCACGATCAGGGTCTGTGTTCCCCATCCATTCCGGGTGCGTTGGCCCTCTTGGTGTGGTGGTGTGTCTTTGTATTGGGCCCCGACCGGTGCGGTCAGAGCAAGTAAAGAACGAAATCGGACCATGCAAAACAAAGGTGTAACAATGGATGGCTATCTATAGAACAACTCAGCGCACAAACCTTGCCCTACGTTGTGTACAGTTCCGGCATATGCATGCACTGTGCATAAAGCGATTGAAGATGTTCGCACCGGGGTGACTTTAATTTGCTTCACCGTAAGCACAGAAAATCAAACGAACTTACTTAAAACCTTTTGAGGTCATTCAAATAGCTTTAAGATGGCGATCACTCGTCAACCCCAATGCCCATGTGGTCATCGGTCAGCCACCAGCATTCCAGACTGGGCATTTGTTTGGGACCATTTTGATCACGCCCTGCGGGCTCTCAAACATATCGGCTGTTTTTGTCGCAAGTTTCAGAGCTCACGGTTAGCAGTGCTTGTTGTGTGAGCCCTGACATCTACCATCCGGTTGCGTAATTCCAGGCAACGGCAGGAATTTACTGGCGAAAATTTGATGTGCCGCGATGCTCGGCGCCGTCCGTTCTGCCCTGTGACGTCAACTGACCCTTAGCGCAACCGCTGCCGCCGGCCGCAGGACATACCTGTCGAGGGCAAATAGCGAACACTAGCGACTCGACCTCGCCCCGCCGCGGGTGGGTGGAGCGGAGGAGCAGGCGCTCTAACCAACTGGGCGACCGGGATGGGCACAGCTAACGACTAGACAAAGGAACTAGTGAGCTGGGCTTCTCCGTAGCAGATGTTATACAATAATGATAAGTGTGAGGTGATGCATTTGGGTAGTTTCGGCAGCGAGGGAATTAGCTATAAAATGAGAGGCTGGGAGTTAGACCGGATCGAGGAATAAAAGGACTTAGGGACCATAATTTATAGGGAACTGAATGCTGGAAAACAATATGGGGCTGCTAGGAGCAAGGCACTTCGGATTCTGAGACTCATTAATAGCGACGTCCATTACAAGAGTAGGAACTTTGTCAAAAAGTTGCACTTAGCTCACGTCAGACCATGCGTAGAGTATTGCGTACAGGCTTGGTCTTCATGCCTCCAAAAAGATACTGACAGACTAGAAACAGTACAGCGAGAAGCAACGAAGGTGATGCATGGTATTGGTGACTTAAACTATAAGGAAAAGATTAGGGTCTTGGATCTGTATTCGCTGGAGGGTCGTAAACTTAAAGGAATCTGATAGAGGTATTTGAGATTATGAAAGGTATAGACAAGGCAGATCTACACGTAGCACTAGAAATTAGGCCGACACATAGAGGAAACCAGTTTCATTTAGGAAAACGTAGGAGTAGAGTTTTAAAGAGACAATGTCATTTAGTCAAAGAGTAGTGAACCACTGGAATGGGGCGTCAAACGAAGTTTTAGGAAGTCCCTCTCTAACAACATTTAAAAACCGTTTGAAAAAGCTTTATCAGTCTAAAAGTTCCATTTACAGCTACATCCATGCAGGCCAAGTGGTAATAGTAGTTTCGAGGATGCATGCAGAACTTGAGGAGGCCAGGCCCGATGTGCTCTTGTCGCCATATGCTTCTCAAAACGCCGTTGCTTCATCGCGTCACTGTGCCTCACACGACACTGATTGAGAGCCAATTGATGGCCGTCATATCTGGAAGTCCTTCTCACTGAACGCCAGACGTGAACGACTTAAAAATGATATTTTTGGGGGGGTTTGATCGCCGCATGGCCGATGGAATCGCAGGGATTTGAATGGCGTTATTATAGGCGTTACGGATCCCTAGGTGACCTTGAGCTTGTCTCCCCAAGGTGGTCTGCATATCGTTGCGGGCGCGTGACTGAGAAACTAGATTAATTTGGGTCTTAAGGAGTGCAGGGCTGTGAACCGCACCGAATGATATTCAAGATGGCGATTTCAGTTCAAAACCCATGTAAATGTGGAACACCCGCTTTAAGAACGGCAGGACTTTAAACTGCACCCATTGATCTTTCAAGATGGCTATTCTAGGTCAAAACCCCAAACTGATGTGGAACAATGCTCTTTGATGCTTGCAATCTCCTTTGGACAAGCTTCTTGTCGAATATTGCACAATTCAACCAAAACTTGTCAAGCTGTACTTCGTGAGCTTGTCATGGACTTATATTATGATAACTGAAATATCATGCCTGCAAGTTGAAAAGAATCGCCGATTTCCCGCATCGTGTTGTGGCGACGTGCCCTTGTCGGACAGGCGTTGTATCACGACGTGCGCCAGTTTATCGTGTACGTGCGCGACAACCACGGCATCGTGTTGTTGCGACGTGCCCCTGTCGGACAGGCGTTGTATCACGACGTGCGCCAGTTCATCGTGTACGTGCGCGACAACCACGGCTGCATCTTCCGTCGGGTCTTGCTGGCCGCGTTTCTGGACTCTACGGATCGACGTAACGTGCAGAACACCATCATCACGACCAAAGTAGTGCGGTAAGCTGTTTAATAGTCACCGCAATAACGCTGGATTAGACTTCCGGAATAATGTGCGTTATGCGATTTCATACCGTCGTTTGTCATTAACGTCTTGATGGGCGTGATATATTCTCGAGACCTTCATGAATATTTTTGACATCTTCTAAGGACATCCACTCGTGTTCATTTTTTACTTATTTCAAGAAGCTTTCTGAGATAATGACTTTTACTGCCGTGATATTAGGCATGCGGCCTGACTTTGTGAGGGGCGCAACTGACGTACATATTCACCGTTAACAAACATAATTCGATCCCAAGGCGCATCCACACTATGACGGAGCCTGGATCTCGGGACTCCCCCACCAACTTCTATCCCATGGATGACCTGCCTACGCAGGAGAGGGCGCACAAGAAGTCAATTTTCAAGAAGAAGAGCACTGTGGCGTCGCTCTCCTCCGTGATAAAGAAGGCGCCCAGTGTGCAGGTCCGTGACCAAGGGTTAATCTGTTGGTAGCGACCAGGTCAGGATCTGGTAGTCTTCTAGCCGTGTGCCATCTATGAGCTCATACACATATGCAGGTCTCCTCCCTGTCGCACCTGCAGCGCATTCCGTCTTCATGAATATGTTGTATGGTTGTCCATGCGCCTGTAGGTGGTGAAAAACACCACGATTGTCTGGTGTAGAGTCCTAGTTGAGCCCGTCTACAGCCCGGACAACGTCTGCTGCTGCCACCGACGAACACCAGCCATGGCGTCTGTTCCACAGAGCATGCTGGACGTGGACGGGGACGAGACGCCGCCCGGCCCCAGCCCCTCCTCCACTATCCGACGCAAGCACCGGTACTCGGCGCGAGCCGACGAGCCGCCCGGTCGGCGCGTCTCACGCTTCGGTGAGTGGCGCGCCGTGTCGTCCTCGAGCCCGCCACACCTCCGTGCTTGGCATCAGCGGATCGCACGTGCAGATGGGAGCTGGGACCGTTCATGTCAGCAGTATGGTACGGATGTCATGCCTACGGACCACGTCCAGGGCTCTGCCTGAGAGCGGAAACCAAGCTGTTAAAGGGTGTGCGTTTATTTGGCAGCCATTATAACACGCATCTGCTGGGAAAGCATTCAAATACAGATACATCAGCGCGCAGGACACTTGGAAGTGCACCTAGGCCTTCGAAGGCATGCCTTCAGGCGAATGTTCTGACCACAGCAATGTGATCAGATTTCGTTTTAAAAAAATTAGAAGCATAAGGCTGTAAATATCCCACAGCATTTGACGGATAGCCGTCACCACCCGCCAGGTGGCCGGTAGTCAATCGCAGAACAAACAGTTGAGAAACTCTGCAGTTTCGCCGCACTGCACCGTGGCGAGGTTTTCTACTGCTAACGAGATTGGAATGCGTCCACAAGCGGCGTAATAGTCGAGTGGTTGGTGCCTCCGGCTCCCACTTGTGCGGTCCTGGCTGGAGCCCAGGCGGCACCATGACCCCTGGCTGCTAATAAGACCTCTGCAGTCACTGGGGTTCGATAAAAGGGAGGGCGATGACGTGCGTAGCGCTCCCTTAATTTTTTATTAACGCTCACCCCATGAAATTTGCTTCGCACACCGCAGTTCAACAAGCTCGCTTAAACTGGTCTCAACGCGCATGCAGACCGCTGTAGCGCACTTAAACACAACTTCACTTGTATTTAATGTACCTCACATATCAATGACGCTTACTCCTATCGTTCCGGCGTGTGTTTTTTTTTGGGGGGGACGCGTTTTTACGAAAACTGTCTGCAAGGAACGCATGCAACTACAGTTGTCAGTGCACAGAACACATGGTAGTGCACCTAGGTCTTCGAAGGCATGATTGGCCAGTCTGACAGTGGTTTCTGATTTCTGATATATATATATATATATATATATATATATATATATATATATATATATAATTGTATATATAGGCATGTTTGGACAAAAAGCAAAACTCAAAAATAAGAATTAATCTTTGGGAAAGTCTTTCTGTTCATGAACCTCCTCCAGCCCTAAACAAACAAATTCTTGCACACCATTGAGTTATTTGGTGGTGGACGGTGAGCGCTATTGATGTGATAGCAATGACAATGTGTTCCTGTCTTTGTAGTGTTCCCATTAATGGTGCATTTTATGTGTATCAAAGAGATGATTGGAATCTGTCTTACTTCAACTGGCCATGCTTCATTTGTCTATCTGTGCTAAAAAAATTCCGATGCACAATTTGCATCCGCAAAAACTCAAAGCTTACTTTTTTGCCGTTTTGACTTCCCCGACGATGAGATAAAATCTCGAAACGCAAGAACGTACAGATTGACAAATGTATGAATCATTTTGCACGAACCACCCTTGGTCTAAAAGAAATTGCGAAGTCAAAAGCACGGAAACTCGAACAGTGCATTCATAAAAGGTCGTTAATGCTGAGATAACAGTCATTTTTAATCAGACCTGTATAAAAGAACGGATTCTGCCAAGATATACCCTATATATTCATATATATATATAGATATATATACATATATAGGATATATGTATCCTATATATATATATATATATATGTGTATATATATGCATATATATATATATATATGTATCTGTATGCATATATATATATATATATATATATAAAATATATGTATCCTATATCCACGCCAAAACTATCAAGGACATGGACGTTTGACCTTGACCCCTTTCTTTAGAGTTCTCCATAGCATGTAAAAGCATGAAACACACATGTCGCTCTCCTTAAACTTTAACTGCCTTACTCATACCATTTTTAACGTATGCAACACTTCCGTTGTCACCTTGATGTGGCTTTTGATCTGATTAGTTTAGAACTGGACCAAAACTAAAAGTTTTGTTCAGTCTGTGTCGGCTACATTCTGCTTTCAGATCTCACGTGACAGTTTGTATTTTAATAAAGGAGATGAACAGAGCAGGTTAGCAACTGGTAGTATGGCAGCCATGAAATCGCACAGCCATATGCGTTTACATATACACAAATACAGATGCCGCTTTGGCATTGTAGCGGATGAAAGGAAAGCTAGAGGGCAGCTGAAAAAGAGTAATAGAAGCCGTTTTATTATCTAGCTAATTACGGGGAAGATTTGAGTTTGTTGTTTGTTCGATGTTTGTATGTTTGATGTTTGTATGATGTTGATATGTTTGACATAAGATTTATGTGGACACATGCAGCATCCCTCCGCGAAGACCTTCTGAAATCCGACGTCAGTGTTCGGCTGTGTCCTCTTCCGGAGCGGCGCCATCGACCTAAGTCTGCTGTTGCCGGTCGTTGGCTGATCGTGCTCTGCTCGGCAGCGTCGTTGTTCCGCCGGGAGGGCTCCAGCCGGGAGGGCTCCGAGGAGGGAGCCGAGGATGGCGAAGGTTCGGAGCGGGGCAGCCGGCGGCCCTCCGTCTACCGCGTCATGCGCTACAACAGAGCAGGGTGAGTTGGTCGGCCGGCAGCCCGCTGCTGCCCGCTGCTCTATCGATCACCCATCCCATTTAGTATCACTGAATATCAGTGATGCATGGATGTGAAGTCTCAAAGTGTTTCCGTCGGTCGGCGTCGTTGAATACGAAAAGCGACTGGAAAGAACGAGCAGCACTTGCTCGTTGACCATGCATGCGGCAATTAAACTTTGCGCCCTGAAATTAGTGCCCAGACCTTAATCTCGTCTCCAGCTGATGTGGACCAGCAGAGTGGTGGCATCTTCCAGTCACTAGTGTCACGTCTGCGTCAAGAACGAGCTCGTGTTACACTGCCAGTGCAGTCACTGCGCGGCGCCATATTCGCCAGCAACGTCAGCCTGAGCCTCTACCGAGCCCGGAAGAGGATGGAGGACCACCTGAGCAGGATCGGCCTGGGCAGGAGCCGCCGCAGAGAGGGCGCCACTGAGGACATCCCAGGTAATCCACAGAACAGCCGGCCAGGGGGGACGCGGGCCTGTTAGAGAGGGCGCCACTGAGGATATCCCAGGTAATCCACAGAACGGCCGGGCAGGGGGGACGCGGGCCTGTTCAGAGAGGGCACCACTGAGGACATCCCAGGTAATCCACAGAAACGGCCGGCCAGCGTGGGACGCGGGCCTGTTCAGAGAGGGCACCACTGAGGACATCCCAGGTAATCCACAGAACAGCCGGCCAGCGTGGGACGCGGGCCTGTTTAGAGAGGGCACCACTGAGGACATCCCAGGTAATCCACAGAACATCCGGCCAGGGTGGGACGCGGGCCTGTTTAGAGAGAGCACCACTGAGGACATCCCAGGTAATCCACAGAACAGTCGGCCAGCGTGGGACGCGAGCCTGTTTAGAGAGGGCACCACTGAGGACATCCCAGGTAATCCACAGAACAGCCGGCCAGCGTGGGACGCGAGCCTGTTTAGCGAGAGCACCACTGAGGACATCCCAGGTAATCCACAGAACAGTCGGCCAGCGTGGGACGCGAGCCTGTTTAGCGAGAGCACCACTGAGGACGTCCCAGGTAATCCACAGAACAGTCGGCCAGCGTGGGACGCGGGCCTGTTTAGCGAGAGCACCACTGAGGACGTCCCAGGTAATCCACAGAACAGTCGGCCAGCGTGGGACGCGGGCCTGTTTAGAGAGAGCACCACTGAGGATATCCCAGGTAATCCACAGAACATCCGGCCAGCGTGGGACGCGGGCCTGTTTAGCGAGAGCACCACTGAGGACATTCCAGGTAATCCACAGAACAGTCGACCAGCGTGGGACGCGGGCCTGTTTAGCGAGAGCACCACTGAGGACATCCCAGGTAATCCACAGGACGGCCGGCCAGTTTGGCACGCGGGTCTGTTTAGCTCGTTGCCTCGTTTTTGCGAGGCGTCGTGGAAACTGTAACTCATAGCCACAGTATGGATGAAGTCTCGCTATGTTGCATTGTGCAAGTGTGACCCCATCGCAGGCTCTCCACCACAATCTGTGACGTCAGCAACTATGCGGGTAGCAGCAACGCTGGCACCGAACAGTGGTCACGCGGTCTTTCAGCGGCTCTTCCGCACTAGTCGAGCTGCACCACTATCTGTGCCCGCCAGATCGCAGTCGGCACAACTCGTGGGACTTCGACGGCTATCCTCAGAGCCTGGAGTACATGATCGTCAAGGAGTGCCGTCTGGTGAACACTTCAGCCGTCAGGGGCGGCATGAAGATGTAGGTCCAGCGAGCGTGGGCGTGAGCCATACAACGGCTGTGGATCTGGCATGGGGGCTGTCAGAACCGTGGGCTTGGCGACCTTCAAGGCTGTTTGCTCCCTCACGTTACTTCGTTTGTAGCTCTCCATGTGTTCTGAGGTGAAATGATGCGTATCGTGTACCGTATCAAAGTTAAGAGCACTCATTCCGGCAGTGTCAGCGCTTGGCGATGCTGACACTGCCACACAACAACAGTGGTTGCGCGCAGCTGTGGCTGTGGAGAGCGGTGTGAAAGCGTCTGCTGTTTGGCCCCCAGCCTGAACCTGCTGATGGAGGCGGCGGCACCGGGCACCGTTCCTGACGCCCCTCTGGTGGCCACCGCCTTCACCCTGGTGCGTCACACGCCACACTCACGTGTCACGTGAGAACGAAACGTAGAGGGCGGGCTTAGATTAAGACGAGCATACACTGCGAGTCAAGCTAAGACTGTGATGCACACTTCATGTATTCACAGGTAGACCGGAATGATGGCATATATCAAAGTGGACTACATGACAAACGAAAATTCTGTAATGAAGATATCTAACACGTGATATGCCGAACGCCTGCTGTTTATTGCTGCTGCGTTTATTAACGTACACATTCTAATGCTTACATTCTGCTTGGAATTAACACCAAGATAGCAATCACATATATAGTCGGGAATTACTAATCATCAGCACTCGTTTCTCGTCCTTTTTACCTTTTGCTGTGTATAATTGCTTACAGGTATTGTTCGCCATTTGCATACGGTTGCATGATTGCGAGAGCGGTTACACACTTCTAGCCATTCGCACTTTACTTACCTGCGCAGCACGTACAATGTATATGGCATCTTCCGGGCCTACGGGCCGGGCCATGAGATCCAGCGCCCCTCCATCACTGCCGCTAGCGCCGCCTCGCGGTACATCGCGGTCTCACCCGCGCAGAGTCGCCGGGCCGCCACCAGCTGTTGACCGGGCGCCCCCACGTGACCCGGCCGGTTGGCCAAACGGCCGGCCCCATGGGCCGTGGCCTGGTGCTACAGGCCTCCGTACAAAAGCGACGTTTACTTGCGGTCATGTCTTCCCCGTCAAACGTCCACATTCTGATGAGCCGCACCGCTCCACAGCCCGGCGTTCCGGTGGCGACACGAGCCTGCTTTTACCTGGAGTGCGCCCACTTTGTGCACCGCTGCAACAAGGGCATGTGGCCGGGATGGATGAAGCTGAACCTGCCGCTGTTTCGGAGCTCGGGCCCGTTGCACAACAAGCCCATCACCGGTGCCAAGCGCACTCATATCCTACAGAGGGCTGCCGGCAAACTGTTCTACCAGTGGGCCGAGGTGAGAGTGTGGCAGCGGCCGCGCGACGGGCAGACAGGTTCCGGAGATCAATTGGATTTCAAATGTCTGGTATACAGTCAACGACGAGCCAATTCCTGTGCTGGGTGGCGGGCTTTTGCTTTGCAAGCTTCAAATGATAAAAATTAGTTCCAATGTACGACATTCGTGAAGTTCTCTCAGGCTACGCAGCAGTGGAATGTTTCCACGCTCTCTACGCACCTCTGCTGGTCCTATCCGTCATCATGTGACCAATGCCACCTGTGGATGCACTATCATGGGAGGTTTGTTGACTCCTTTTGCCCGTCGTCCGTTATGCCAATCTGACTTCGCTCCGCCGTCGTTTTGACTTCGCTCCTCCGCCTTTTGTTCACCATGGCCGTTGCCTGTGCGCGGAGGCATTTTGATGATCGGTTGCTTGGGCCACTTTAGGCGCTAGGTGCTCGTCTGGAGGCCACCCTGAGCGAGGCGAAGGCGAGCGAGGCGGGCGGCGACGCCAGGCGACAGGGCGAATCATTCTGTCACGCTCTGGATGATGTCAGGAAGCGGCAGCTCAGACTGGACGACGACGAAGAGGACTTCCTGGACGAGGGTAAGCACAGCGTCTCACTGGTTTGACAGCATCAACACCGAGTGCGTGCGTGCTTGCATGCGTGCGTGGGCGTGCGTGCGTGCGTGCGTGCGTGCGTGCGTGCGTGCGATGTGTGCGGCTGTAAATAAAATGTACTGGCGGTGGAGTGTGAAATACACACCGGCCTACCGGAACCAAGTCGCTTGTCATTGCACCCGCCTGCCGGAGCCGGTAAGATTTTGTAGAGAAAACTGCTCTGAGGGCGCTGAGGTGGTTGCTGGTCGACTTTGAGGTCGATCCTGGTAGGGTGTTTTTTTTCGACGGTGCGTTAAATAGTTGTGTTTGGAGTCAGCAGACCCACTCGACTTACACACTTCTTCACGGTGGCGACGCCTGACGGCCGTCATCGCTTCCCCGCCACCCCGCTGGGTAACCGCCACGACGGCGAAGAGGGACTGGTCACCGTTGCGAGGCCTGATCCTGCGGCGAAAACAGTCAGAAGTTTGTGCGTTATCCCTGGCCGTGCCCGAAGAGTGCTTGCAACTGAGCAGCCCGGCATCAGAATACTTGGCACACTGCCAACAGCCTGCTTAAGATACGTATACCTTGAGGGCGTCTTGCGGGCATGTTGTGACGCATTCAATTTACAACTCTGGGTATATACTTTGCCGTCTCATTTGACCTTTGAACCTCAATGCCCAATTTTCTTGGCTTCGTGTAGGCAGATGTTTGCTGCATCGCGCTCGGCTGGCCGTGATCGTCATTTGCTTTCTGGAAGCTGCTATTTATTTTATTACACGTAAACTTTTTGCTCTTATTTCATTCGAACATAAACGTTTCCAAAAGCTGTAAACCTAGAAACGTTCGTGGATATACGATGACTGCGATATTATCATACCATTAACCGATTGGTGACGTTTTTAGGATGATAGGCCAACCAGTCCCAGTGGTCACTCTCGCCCTACGGCTGATTGAAGGTTACCTACGTCCAGAAATCGGTTGCGTTGTCAGGCCCCTCCAAATTGGCGGGAATGAAAAGACTAGCAGAGCTGCCCTCACACTTCACAAATAACTGCGATTCTGCGGGGTCGGCGGCAGTGATGTGCAGGCAGGGGGACACCGCCTCCGCCGGATCGCGATACACCCCGCGGCACGCTACGCACAAAAGGCGCCCTCCCGGGTGGCGGTCAGCGGCACAAGGCGATGGCCCGACCTCACCGGCGAGCCGGACGGCTCCGTGGCTCAGGGCCTCACGATACATTTAGCCCTTGCACTTTGAGAAACGGACTTCTATTAAGCTTTTTATTTTTATGGGAATTGGTGTTGAAAAAATATATTCCTCCCAAGTTTTGAACTGTCTTCGTTTATCACGGAAACGTCCTGTTTTCGAAAGCAGTCGATGGAACTGAAAAAGGAACTTTCTGATCTACGACAATATTTTTTACCCTCCCCTGTCCCCTTAGAATCACGTTGGTTTACTATTTTACTGTTGAATTTTTTCAAGTTAAAGGCAGCTTTCTAAATGTTCTGTCACTGCAGTCATTTATAAATGTTGCGCTTCGTGGAAGCATCCTGCGTGGGTTCAACCTCCATAGCTTGCACTGCTGGGTACAGCAACATTGGGGAAGGCCTGACCGTGCAGGTAACATTTTTTCTAACCTTTTGCCCATTCGAGACCATTCATTTGCGTGTTACGCTCTCTAACCTGCGCCCGGCCGGGGGAAGTTGACTCCCCCCTACGGTTTTTCAAGCGCAGGGTAAAAAACAAACGATTGCAGAAGCGCAACATTGTCAGTGCCTGTTTAGTAATCAATGTGGCATCCTTTGAGCAAATTGCACGTTTTGACCCACCAAGATCAGTGCCCTACGTCAGGTCCAAAACGTCAGCCTGTTCAAAACATGCCAAACCAATGAACTGCTTTGCATTAATGGATGCCGTTTCCAAAGCGGATTTTTTAT